CTTGAAATATAACATTTTCTGTAACTAGCTGACATTGTAATTATAAGGTGTAAAGGATAGATTAAATTGTTAATGTAATAATCTCCGTTAAGGTCTGATAAAGACCTTTTGTGCCCTCTGTAATGCTTTTTGCGCTACCGCTCACAGGGTGAGTATGGGGTGCACAATAAACTAGCCGCCTCCCGCGGCAACAATAAACAAAAAATGATTTAAGAAATATTGTTATTGATCTGTAAGGCGAGTTAATATTTTACCAGTTATCTCAATTGAAATCTTAAAGCATAAGTTGATTAGAATATGAATGTGGTTTGGTTGATTATAAATGCCCCCCCCCCCCCATGTCTTAGAGAGGACGCCTGTTCCTTTATCACACTCCTCCCTAGGCCAGCACTTGGCCTTCCACCAGATGCGACTCACAACAGTTGTTTAACTCCTGGGGTATGTGTGTTGTTACTTTATTTTGTGACAACATGTCCCAGGTGGAGAGTGCGGAGTGCAGCGCCTGGCTGGCGTGCTGCGAGAGTAGAGGTGGTGAGGGCGCCGGGCACAGTAAAGGAACCTGTTACAGGTAGTGTAGGGAGGACGGCGGTCTCAACAACAATGCCTCGCCTCCACCCACACCTTTACCTATTGGTGGAAGTGTAGTCGTCTTGGTGGTGGGGAGCGGCTCCTGGCTGTACCCTACAGTCTTGGTGGGGAGCGGCTCCTGGCTGTACCCTACAGTCTTGGTGGGGAGCGGCTCCTGGCTGTACCCTACAGTCTTGGTGGGGAGCGGCTCCTGGCTGTACCCTACAGTCTTGGTGGGGAGCGGCTCCTGGCTGTACCCTACAGTCTTGGTGGGGAGCGGCTCCTGGCTGTACCCTACAGTCTTGGTGGGGAGCGGCTCCTGGCTGTACCCTACAGTCTTGGTGGGGAGCGGCTCCTGGCTGTACCCTACAGGTGGGGCGGCTCCTGGCTGTACCCTACCTTGGTGGGGAGCGGGCTGTACCCTACAGTCTTGGTGGGGAGCGGCTCCTGGCTGTACCCTACAGTCTTGGTGGGGAGCGGCTCCTGCCTGTACCCTACAGTCTAGGTGGGGAGCGGCTCCTGGCTGTACCCTACAGTCTTGGTGGGGAGCGGCTCCTGGCTGTACCCTACAGTCTTGGTGGGGAGCGGCTCTTGGCTGTACCCTACAGTCTTGGTGGGGAGCGGCTCCTGGCTGTACCCTACAGTCTTGGTGGGGAGCGGCTCCTGCCTGTACCCTACAGTCTTGGTGGGGAGCGGCTCCTGCCTGTACCCTACAGTCTTGGTGGGGAGCGGCTCCTGTCTGTACCCTACACAGTTGGCAGGGGCAGTGACCGGCGGGGGGGAGGGGCCCTCAGGACTGACAGCCCCCGCTACTCACTAGTAACCCAGGCGTCACCTCCCGCCTGGGCTCGGGACACTGCACGCTAAATGCACGCAATTATTGCTTTGTAAACACACACACACACACACACACACACACACACACACACACACACACACACACACACACACACACACACACACACGGATTATCGAGACTTAAAACGTTGAACGATTTTACTGTGAACGAGAAACTATGTAAGGGTAAATGTTCTGAAATGTCACTTTTGTTGTTCAATTACCGTATACTGTACACTGTTCAATTCTTTGTGTGTGTGTATTCACCTAGTTGTGTTTGCGGGGGTTGAGCTTTCCTCTTTCGGCCCGCCTCTCAACTGTGTGTGTGTGTGTGTGTGTGTGTGTGTGTGTGTGTGTATGCGTGCATATATATATATATATATATATATATATATATATATATATATATATATATATATATATATATATATATATATATATATATATCTATCTCATATACAAGTTCTTACATTCTTGTACAGCCACTAGGAAAGTCCTTAATCCTAATTTTCCCCGGCATACGACCCGCCAAATCGTTTAACAAGGTACCCATTGACTGCTGGGTGAACAGAGGCTACAGTTAAGGATTGGCGCCCAGTCAATCCTCCTCGGCCCGGATATGAATCCAGGCCAAAGCGCTGGCGAAGCGCCGGGCGAGTGCTTTACCACTGTGCCACGGGGAACTGTATGATGGTGTTTGTATATTTCTATTTTTTTTCCAAATGACAAATTGAGAGACTCGCACACTTATCTAAACCGAATATAGAGGAGTATGTGAAGGCATCTTACTAGATTTAAGAGGAATAATTTCGGGTATTTTAGAGAACATCCTGAACCCCCCTTCCCTCTCCCCCAAGACAACCACAAACCGAATATCATGAGCGGTGTCTGCAAAGTCGGCACTCACCGGGGTGCTGCTGTCAGGAGCGTGAGAGGCCTCGTGCCCTGTGTACCAAGAATGTCAGGGAATACATAATACGAAAGCTTGTGTAGACATTGCTGGGATTAACAGTCAGAGACGGGGCCTGCTGGTGCACACGGGCTGGTGCACACGGGCTGGTGCACACGGGCTGGTGCACACGGGCTGGTGCACACGGGCTGGTGTACACGGGCTGGTGTACACGGGCTGGTGCACACGGGCTGGTGCACACGGGCTGGTGCACACGGGCTGGTGTACACGGGCTGGTGTACACGGGCTGGTGCACACGGGCTGGTGCACACGGGCTGGTGCACACGGGCTGGTGCACACGGGCTGGTGCACACGGGCTGGTGCACACGGGCTGGTGCACACGGGCTGGTGCACACGGGCTGGTGTACACGGGCTGGTGCACACGGGCTGGTGCACACGGGCTGGTGCACACGGGCTGGTGCACACGGGCTGGTGTACACGGGCTGGTGCACACGGGCTGGTGCACACGGGCTGGTGCACACGGGCTGGTGCACACGGGCTGGTGTACACGGGCTGGTGTACACGGGCTGGTGTACACGGGCTGGTGCACACGGGCTGGTGCACACGGGCTGGTGCACACGGGCTGGTGCACACGGGCTGGTTTCCTCTGAACGACTGACGTCACAGGGAATAATTTGTCCCATGTGACGAGGCTGTTGTTTTTTGAACATTAGTTTTATTATCGTGTTTCAAGTTGGAGTGTGGCGCCCCGCGGCCTGCTGGCGGAGTAGTGCTGCATCTTAACACCCATTGTGCATGGGAGGGGAGTGTGGCGCCCCGCGGCCTGCTGGCGGAGTAGTGCTGCATCTTAACACCCATTGTGCATGGGAGGGGAGTGTGGCGCCCCGCGGCCTGCTGGCGGAGTAGTGCTGCATCTTAACACCCATTGTGCATGGGAGGGGAGTGTGGCGCCCCGCGGCCTGCTGGCGGAGTAGTGCTGCATCTTAACACCCATTGTGCATGGGAGGGGTGTGGGGACCCCATAAACATAACCCCACCCACACGCTCACCCCCCCCCCCCCAACCCCACCTCCCCCTCACATAATATTCCCTTCCCTCGCCGCCATAGAGCCCCCTCCCCCCACTCGCCCACAGCCCCAGTTTCCGAGAATCGGTCAAAACCCAAAAGCACAGAGAATTGGATCAGAAAATAAATTGATCCCAATTGCTGTTCCCTCCTCCTAAGTGTTCTTGTAAAGCTTCAAATACAATGTACATACTGTGTACACTAATTTACAAGAGCTCTGCAAGGTTCTTTGCACCAAGTACAGTCGGAAGTGATGCCTCTAGTTTACATTCTCTAAAAAGACCAGATCAGTAGTTCGAATTCCGCCCCCCCCGCATTGCTCCAACTGATATTTTCCTAAAGGGGAGATAAATAATATTTTAAATATATCAACACAAAATAGAACACGCAACAATGAATACAAATGGGTTAAGTTTAAATTCAGAAAAGATCTGGGTGTATATTGCTTTGGAAAGAGGGTGGTTGAGTTACGGTATAATTACTTGGTAACATTAATAGACGCGAGATAACTTTGTTTCAAGCGTAGGTTAGACACATGAATGTGTCTGGGGGCAGATACAAATTGGATATAGCTTGGGTCACTATAGGCCTTCAGCTGTTTTATTAATGTTTATGTTCTGACGTACTGTCTGGGTCTTGATGGTAATACGTAACTTAGCTATAAGCTGAAGCTTAGGTCATCGCAGAAGTGTTTCCGCCATGTTTAGTCTCCTATTGTCATTATATTTGGTACTCTTACAGGACGACCCTTCCCTCTCCCCGCTGGTACAGGACGACCCTTCCCTCTCCCCGCTGGTACAGGACGACCCTTCCCTCTCCCCGCTGGTACAGGACGACCCTTCCCTCTCCCCGCTGGTACAGGACGACCCTTCCCTCTCCCCGCTGGTACAGGACGACCCTTCCCTCTCCCCGCTGGTACAGGACGACCCTTCCCTCTCCCCGCTGGTACAAGACGACCCTTCCCTCTCCCCGCTGGTACAGGACGACCCTTCCCTCTCCCCGCTGGTACAGGACGACCCTTCCCTGTCCCCGCTGGTACAGGACGACCCTTCCCTGTCCCCGCTGGTACAAGACGACCCTCCCCACTTGTGCTGGCGCTACCCGTTGCTCTCATCAGAAGTGATGTCTTCCTCAGTTTATCCAGTTGTAAGGCGTCATGGGCACCATGCTGGTGGCTCAACTTTGAGGGAGAAATGTTTGATGGAACGATCGTCGTTTATAAAGTACTTTGGTCAAAGTACTTTCTTTCTATGACTTGTAATTGGGGAAGAGCGGTGGCATGTGAGGGCGGTGGTGTCAGGAGGAGCGCTGTGGGCCGAGTGGCGGCCAGGCTCGGCCCAGCCCTTGCCCGAGCGCATGGCTGTGCATTGATGACGTCATCTGTCACCAGATACCCACACAGGCTTGAATTTTTTTATTTGGCTTATTTGTGTGTCCAAATTTTTGTTGAAGTTTGAATAGTTTGGCGGGATTGTTGTTAGCGTGAGAGAAGGCGTGATTGTTGTTAGCTTGTTAGAAGACGTGATTGTTTGAGTGGGCGTGGATAGTTGGGAGTGGATGGGGCCGGTGGCGAGATGCGGCATCGTGGGCGGGCAGGAGCGCCTCCCAGACACAGACGGGCCACGGCAGTTAGTAGTCCGCCGACCGCGATCACCTCGGGGTCGAGTTTTCTACACTTGTCGAGTGTTCCAGTCGTGAAAGTTTTTCAGTGAGAGCAGCGGTGTACACTAGGAGTACACCCAGTGGCCATCGGCACCATGACGGTCCCCAGGACTGTCATACACAACCCGCTCGGGGCTCTACTGCTGGTGTGTCTGCTCGCAGCAGCGCTCACCGCAGCTTTTGATCAGGTAAATATTAAACTTGTGCGGTTCTGGCTTAGCCTAACTTGAATTAGAGGGTTAGAGGACGACTTGACAGTGCGGAAAACTTTGGAAATGAGTGTTGAGTTGTTGTGGCGTAATATTGGGTGGCGATGGACGGGCGTGTTGGAGGAGTGCCTCTGCCTGGGCGGCGTGTTGGTGGTGGTGCAGAGGGCGAGAATGGTGGTGATGTCAACAGGCGCGGTGGTGGCTCCTCGGGCTGGGCGCGGCTCCTGCCACCACCCACCACCACCACGCCGCCCCCTGGGGGGTGAGGGGCACTGATCCCTCTCTGGGAGGGACGGGGGGGGTGGTTGGGGGCAGGGGGAAGTGCTGGGCACTGTCCCCTCGGCGCCTTGATGCCCCGTCTTGCAGCATTCGTCACCACATGTCGTGGGAGACTGTGGAGGTAGTGAGCAGTTGCTAGGTGCTGGTGGCCTCAGGGGCGCTGGGTGCTGGTGGCCTCAGGGGCGCTGGGTGCTGGTGGCCTCAGGGGCGCTGGGTGCTGGTGGCCTCAGGGGCGCTGGGTGCTGGTGGCCTCAGGGGCGCTGGGTGCTGGTGGCCTCAGGGGTGCTGGGTGCTGGTGGCCTCAGGGGTGCTGGGTGCTGGTGGCCTCAGGAGCGCTGGGTGCTGGTGGCCTCAGGGGCGCTGGGTGCTGGTGGCCTCAGGGGTGCTGGTGGCCTCAGGGGTGCTGGGTGCTGGTGGCCTCAGGGGTGCTGGGTGCTGGTGGCCTCAGGGGTGCTGGGTGCTGGTGGCCTCAGGGGTGCTGGGTGCTGGTGGCCTCAGGGGTGCTGGTGGCCTCAGGGGTGCTGGGTGCTGGTGGCCTCAGGGGTGCTGGGTGCTGGTGGCCTCAGGGGCGCTGGGTGCTGGTGGCCTCAGGGGCGCTGGGTGCTGGTGGCCTCAGGGGTGCTGGGTGCTGGTGGCCTCAGGGGTGCTGGGTGCTGGTGGCCTCAGGGGTGCTGGTGGCCTCAGGGGTGCTGGTGGCCTCAGGGGTGCTGGGTGCTGGTGGCCTCAGGGGCGCTGGGTGCTGGTGGCCTCAGGGGCGCTGGGTGCTGGTGGCCTCAGGGGCGCTGGGTGCTGGTGGCCTCAGGGGTGCTGGGTGCTGGTGGCCTCAGGGGTGCTGGGTGCTGGTGGCTTCAGGGGTGCTGGTGGCCTCAGGGGTGCTGGTGGCCTCAGGGGTGCTGGTGGCTTCAGGGGTGCTGGTGGCCTCAGGGGTGCTGGGTGCTGGTGGCCTCAGGGGTGCTGGTGGCCTCAGGGGTGCTGGTGGCCTCAGGGGTGCTGGTGGCCTCAGGGGTGCTGGTGGCCTCAGGGGTGCTGGGTGCTGGTGGCCTCAGGGGTGCTGGTGGCCTCAGGGGTGCTGGGTGCTGGTGGCCTCAGGGGTGCTGGTGGCCTCAGGGGTGCTGGGTGCTGGTGGCCTCGCCAGCGTTGCTCACACCTCTTGTATACCCTAAGTAGTGTGGGCCTGATGTATACTGGCCTAGTTAGCATCTAGCTGTGCTTGCAGGGTCGAGCTTCAGCTCTCAAGCTCCAGTTGTACACTACTCTCCCTCGGTTTTCATACATTTACAACTCGATCTCAAGTCTGAGAAGTTGCTTCTGAGGTCTGACTTGTGTGTCCAGTTGCCAGTTATGGACGCTAGTTACTATGTTATTTATTTCTTTGAAAATTGCTTATCTGTCGACTGTGACAATTTCGCCGTAGTATGATTTACGTCGTGATCATTTCTGCCCTATTTCTTTGTCCTCCAGCGTGACTGTCTGTCTGTCTCTATCTCCCTCTTCTCTGCTTCCTCCCCACCCCTTCCCCAGGACCTCCCTGCCACCCACACATCACACCCACGCCACACCCACACATCTAACCGGCTACAGCTTCCCAGTGCCACACCCTCGCCAGCCATACTCTCGTTAGTAAAATCGTGTCACATCCCCTGGCCACACGCGCCACACCCCCCCCTTCCCCTACACATCGCCACACCCTCTTGTAAAGCCACATTCACCCTTTCAATAATTCGCCACACTAGCGCCCCATCACATCCACACCCCCTCCACACCCCTGGACACTCACACCACGCCACACCCCTGGACACTCACACCACGCCACACCCCTGGACACTCACACCACGCCACACCCCTGGACACTCACACCACGCCACACCCCTGGACACTCACACCACGCCACACCCCTGGACACTCACACCACGCCACACCCCTGGACACTCACACCACGCCACACCCCTGGACACTCACACCACGCCACACCCCTGGACACTCACACCACGCCACACCCCTGGACACTCACACCACGCCACACCCCTGGACACTCACACCACGCCACACCCCTGGACACTCACACCACGCCACACCCCTGGACACTCACACCACACACTGGCCACACACCCCTGGACACTCACACCACGCCACACCCCTGGACACTCACACCACGCCACACCCCTGGACACTCACACCACGCCACACCCCTGGACACTCACACCACGCCACACCCCTGGACACTCACACCACGCCACACCCCTGGACACTCACACCACGCCACACCCCTGGACACTCACACCACGCCACACCCCTGGACACTCACACCACGCCACACCCCTGGACACTCACACCACGCCACACCCCTGGACACTCACACCACGCCACACCCCTGGACACTCACACCACGCCACACCCCTGGACACTCACACCACGCCACACCCCTGGACACTCACACCACGCCACACCCCTGGACACTCACACCACGCCACACCCCTGGACACTCACACCACGCCACACCCCTGGACACTCACACCACGCCACACCCCTGGACACTCACACCACGCCACACCCCTGGACACTCACACCACGCCACACCCCTGGACACTCACACCACGCCACACCCCTGGACACTCACACCACCACCCCTGGACACTCACACCACGCCACACCCCTGGACACTCACACCACGCCACACCCCTGGACACTCACACCACGCCACACCCCTGGACACTCACACCACGCCACACCCCTGGACACTCACACCACGCCACACCCCTGGACACTCCACCACGCCACACCCCTGGACACTCTCACCACGCCACACCCCTGGACACTCTCACCACGCCACACCCCTGTACACTCTCACCACGCCACACCCCTGGACACTCTCACCACGCCACACCCCTGGACACTCTCACCACGCCACACCCCTGGACACTCTCACCACGCCACACCCCTAGACACTCTCACCACGCCACACCCCTAGACACTCTCACCACGCCACACCCCTAGACACTCTCACCACGCCACACCCCTAGACACTCTCACCACGCCACACCCCTGGACACTCTCACCACGCCACACCCCTGGACACTCTCACCACGCCACACCCCTGGACACTCTCACCACGCCACACCCCTGGACACTCTCACCACGCCACACCCCTGGACACTCACCACGCCACACCCCTGGACACTCACCACGCCACACCCCTGGACACTCACCACGCCACACCCCTGGACACTCACCACGCCACACCCCTGGACACTCACTTGTAATAATACCCACAGATTGAGGCGGCAATCCGTCACAAGTTCCCTGTAGCAATATTAGCCGTGACATCCTTGTCTGTGTATTGTGAGGTGTTGCGTGCAGCGTGCAGTACGACCACCACGACCAGAGGATGATGGACGCCTCCATGATGCCAGGGATTATAACAAACACCAACACTTCTTGATTTCTGATATTGTTCGTGTCTCGGCCTCAAGTTAGTCCGTCCTCTTCCCAACGTCCAGAAAACGGTCCATTTAAAGTGTCCTTTCCTAACCTACCAGAGGACCCAAAACAGAAAACGGGACACTACGTCACTTTCGCCAGCCGCTTCCATTTTCTAATACGAAAATTGTTGGCCTTATGTAACGCATACGAGCGAAAAGCGACGTTCTTTGTAAGAGGACAGGTTGCCCAAACCGCTATTAACCATAACATCCGAGACTCTTAATAAATTAATGTACATCAAACCAACAATACATTATGCAGCACCAACATTGTATACATACTTCATATTGTCACTCGACTCCCTTCCCCACCTAAAAAAAAATCCTAGGCTTAATAGCTGAGGAGGTACTTCTTAATAGCTAAGAACTACCAGATGAGAATTGATTACTGTGTATAAAATACCGAGAGGACTGGGCGAAGTGGCCAGAGGAAACTTATTTCCAAATGACTAATATTAAGACAAAAGGGAACGCAAATGAACTAGGAAGCGCAAGTGAAGTGGAGAGATTTTAGTGTTTCTAGGTTATGCAATGAATGTAATAAACAAATGGAATGTGCTTTGAGGAGTGGAAACCTCTAGTCTTGTTTCAAGAACATATACGATTGAAGTCCCAGGTACCAGTACATTAGGTGGGGCACATACAGCAAGATCTACCTTAAAGTAGACACTGATAAGTAAGTGCTACTAGGTCAGTACTCATATACATATGCATTCCTCCACACCCTCGCAGTGGTTGCATCAGGACCCACTACCTGTGCAAGGTGGAGCACCCCACTACCTATGCAAGGTGGAGCACCCCACTACCTGTGCAAGGTGGAGCACCCCACTACCTGTGCAAGGTGGAGCACCCCACTACCTGTGCAAGGTGGAGCACCCCACTACCTGTGCAAGGTGGAGCACCCCACTACCTGTGCAAGGTGGAGCACCCCACTGCCTGCCCAAGGTGGAGCACCCCACTACCTGTCCAAGGTGGAGCACCCCACTGCCTTCCGAAGGTGGAGCACCCCACCGCCTGTCCAAGGTGGAGCACCCCACTGCCTGTCCAAGGTGGGTGGGTGGGGATGGGGTTGTGTACCAAGATGAGTTGACGGACAGTTAAATATCTCGTGCAGTCTATATTCTGGCCGAAGGACAAGAGACATTACGTGTGTTCCACCGTCTATGGATCAGCCACCTGGGCTCTTCCCTGCTGTTGCCACTCTCGTAGGGCCGTCAGACT